GCCCATGGGGGGGCGCCATCTCACCCCGGTGCCCCTGCCGTGACAGAGCTGCCAGAGGAGGAGCAGGAGCGGTGGGAGAAATTCGTCTCGGGGCCCCTGGCAGAGACCAACAAGAAAAACGTGGTGGATCTGGTGAGTTCCACCCCCCCCAACCCTCCCCAACCCCACAGGCCCATCCTGCCCAGTGCTACCCCCACGTCTGTCCAGCTCTCCGCTCCGATGCCAGCCCCCCCGGTCAGCCCCACGTGCCCACTGGCTTCCTGCCCTGTGCCAACTACCGTGGAAGCCGCGAGCCCATCCTTGCTCTAGCATCAGCTCCGTCTTGTAGCAGGGAGTTCCGCCGCCTAACGCCTGAGCATTGTCCCGGGGCTCTGTCACATGTTCTGAGGGACCCACCCGGCTGGTGCTGCCCCCCATGGCTGGGAGGTGTCGGGGAGAGGGATGGGACTCACTGCCCCCCCGCCCCCGTACCATGACCCTAACGAGCCCCGGTGCCCCCTACAGGTGAACATGCACAATCTGCACTCGTCCAGCGACGATGAGGAGAACGACCTGAAGGAGTTCAACTTCCCCCAGGAGGCCGTGCTACAGCAGGTGGGTCTGCCCCCCCCAGAGCCAGCCGCATCCCAGCGCCGGGCGAGGGGTCCCCGGATACCCAGCCCCCGCGCCCAGAGGGGCCGCATCCCAGCGCCGGGCGAGGGGTCCCCGGATACCCAGCCCCTGCGCCCCACCCCAGAGGGGCCGCATCCCAGCACCAGGCGAGGGGTCCCCGGATACCCAGCCCCCCTGTGCCGGATGCCCGCCCAGCATCTGTCTGTCTGTGTCTGTCCATCCTCGGCAGGCCTTCGTGGATTACCAGATGCAGCAGGTGACCTCGGCCTTCATCGACCACTTCGGCTTCAATGACGAGGAATTCGGGGAGCAGGAGGAGAGTGTCAAGTGTGTGTCTGCCTGGAACACCCCCCCACCCCGCCCGTCCGTACCCGCTGCCCCACACTCGCTGAGGGGGTGCACTAGGGAATAGGGCCAGTAGGTGGCACCAGATCCACCTTCTCTGCTGTGGGCCAGGAGCCAGGACTCCTGGGTTCTCTCCCTGGCTGTGCCATGACTCCTGTCGGTGCTGCGCCTTTCGGGGTGACCCCCCCCCGGCTCATTCACACTAACTGGAGGTTCTGCGCAAACGAAGCCCTGTACTTCCGGGGGGACGCTGAATGTGTGCGTCTAACCCAGCTTTGCACACGGTATTCCGTTGGCCCCCCTGCCTCCCCGGGGACCCCATGTGGCGGGGGGCTGTGTGATGAAGTGGGGGGGAAGTCCAGGACAGGCTGATACCTCATAACCCCTCTCCTTGGCTTCCTGCCTCCCCGGAGACCCCGCGTAGAGCAACAGGGCAGCATCACATCAGACCCCCCGCCACCACCACCACCGCCGTGGGACCAGGGTGCTGGCAGTAGCGCCCCCTGCCTGTTGAGCAGCCCCCCCTTGGTGTGGGGCACCCCAGCCCCCCCACAAACCCCTCTCGGCTTCATGTCTGTGCTTCTCTTTTTCTCTCCGCTGCCTCCAGCGCCCACTTCCGCCAACTCAAGAGGTAACAACTCCCCCGCACCCCCCTCCCAGACCCCCGGCAGGGGCATGTGACACCAGCCGGACCCCTCCCCATCCCCAAGAGCAAGGGGGTGGAGAGGAGAACCCCATTTCAACCCTTCCGGCCCTTTCAGGAAATCCCGCCATCGGGGACTCAGTTGGGCACAGATCCAGGCAACGTGGGGTTAACCGTCCCAGCAGCCCTTGGGGCCCCAACTGCCCTCATGCACCCCGCACCCCACCCCACCCGCCCGGGCTGGCACCCCCTTTCCTAGCACATGGGAGGGGAGTGGGGGTGTGGTGGTTAGAGTGGGGGGGGGGGGGGGCTGGGAGCCGAGGAC